AGAGAGAGAGAGAGAGAATTTTTGATATTTATTTTTTATTTTTTGGCAGACACAACATCTTTGTTTGTATGTGGTGCTGAGGATCGAACTCGGGCCGCACATATGCCAGGCGAGTGTGCTACCTCTTGAGCCACATCCCCAGCCTCTAGGGAGATTTTTAAATGAGGACAAGATAATGGTTTCTGATTTCTTTCTTTTTTCTTTTTTTATTGGGGTACCAGGGATTGAACTCAGGGTCACTCGACCACTGAGTCACATCTCTAGCCCTATTTTGTATTTTATTAGAGACAGGGTCTCATTGCTTAGCGCCTTGCTAAATTGCTGAGGCTGGCCTTGAATTTGCAATCCTCCTGTCTAATTGAGATCCTCCTGCCTCAGCCTCCTGTCGCTGGGATTACAGGCATGCGCCACCGCCCTGGGCCTTTCTGATTTATTTCTAATAACGTTTCTGATAATATTCAATTTTCTTAATTTCAGGATTAATGTTTTATTTCTTTCTTTATTTTTTAATATTTATTTTCTTAGTTTTTTTCAGCGGACACAACATCTTTGTTTGTATGTGGTGCTGAGGATTGAACCTGGGCTGCATGCATGCCAGGCGAGTGCGCCACCGCTTGAGCCACATCCCCAGCCCCAGGATTAATGTTTTAGAAAAATAGTTTACAGTGGTTACATAGTCTTATAGTCATAACAAATTGTCTTGAATACAACAAATGTATTTATCTTTAAATTACTTCACAGTTATCCACAATAACGTTCATTTGTTATGCTTTTATTTGCATAGCTATGTGAAAAAATTCCTGTAGAATATTCCTGCCTCTTTGATATTAAACATTCATGATTGCTATTTCACTTTCATTAATTATTGAGCTTTTGGAATTTCTAATAAAGGATAATTTCATTGACCAAGACAAGAAATTGCTTTTCTGGAGTAAACACAATGATGCCTAAATACTCTTGAAAAACCAGCCTCTATCTCAGAGCAAAGCCTGTCCAAGGAAGGGACATGGCCTTTGTCCTTGGAAAGACCCACAGAGCACTCCTAGGCACATTCCCACCCTGCTAAGTGGTATATCTACAAATAACAGGAGATATCTGCTGTGCCAGGTGTTCCTGATTCAGTCAGGCTAGGTGGAGACCCATACTAACCCCCTAGCAGCCACCAATCAGCATGAGACAGGGAGATACCTGATATGCCAGATGACCTTCCCAGTAGTTTATGATGGTTGATAACATGTTGGGAAACCATGTAGTTCAGCACGWACACTCCTTTTGGCTTAAACCAATCAATTAAAATGAATCCCCCTCTTGTAGTAACCAATCACCCCTACCCAACTTGTTCCCGCCAGTGAATGTACTAATCATGTTTTAGAGTTGTTATTTGATTTTCCTGAGGTGTGTGATGATTTGCTAAGAGATGCTATGATGTATGTGAGGGTCTTTGCCTTCTCTGAAGAATGTATAAAACTGCTGCAAACCCTGGGCTTGGGGCTTCTCAGCATCACCAGTTGCTGTGTGTGAATGGAGGACTGAGCTAGCTCGCAATAAACACCTCTTTGCTGTTTACCTCCATCTTGGTCTCTGGTGGTCTTTTGGGGGTCCTGAATTTGAGCATAACACTCTCTGAATGACTTTTTGTTTTTGGTACTCAGGATTGAACCCTGGGGTGCTGTGCCATTGAACCATATCCTCAGTCCTTTTTATTCTGAGACAGGGTCTCACTAAATTGCCCAGGCTAGCTTCCAACTTGAGATCCTCCTGACTCAGACAGGGATTACAGGTGTACCACCTACCTGGGTTAGTATTTATTTTTAAGAGATGGGGGTTTCACTATGTTACCTAGGCTGACCTTGAAGTCAAGGAATCCTGCCTCAGCCTCCAGAGTAGCTCTGAAAGTCTTATGATAAATGAATATGTAATTGAAGGAAGAAACTAATTATTCGCAAGACCTTTCACAAAATGTCACACCAAAAATTAGTAACATTAAAACAAAAATAATTCACAGTAGTATGGAGGAACAATTTGTAGCGTCAGTGGAATTAAAACTAGAAAACGTGTATGTGTAAAGTGATGTATTTTTTGATACAATCAATGATTTGACAAAGATGGTAGAGAAGTCTCCAAATTTTAATGCCATGCTACATTTCCCTTTTTCTGTTTCTCTGGAGTTCCTATTCTGGTGCACACCCATTGTCTTCCTGTAATTCTTCCTAGTGTCTTCCTTTTCATACAACTGAGATGAGATCTGGCTTTCTCCGTTCTTGAAACTTCTTGCCTGCTTTAGCTCTAGTCCCTGTTCTTGAAGGACCTATTAGCCCACTCCCTACCTACATGTTATTTATGCGCGCTCCCTTAAGTGAAGGCTCAGGGATGTTGCTAGACATTATCACTCCTCAAGGATTCCAGGACTTGGCGCTCCCCTACAGCCGGCTCCTCCCCACCCGTCTCCGCACCCCGCCGTGGCGCACTGCATGCTGGGAGCCGTAGTCTCTGTCGGCCTATACCGGAAACACTGAAGGGCACGGGAGTCCAGGCCGCTCTTCCGACCTGGAGGGCACGTTCCTAAGCAGCTCTCTTTGGTCCGCTCAGGCGGAGCTTCCCCGAGCACAGCCGAGTTTGACTGTGTGTCGGTCTCTCTTCTGAATTTCAATAAAGTTTTCCTCTTCCTCAAGATGGCGGCCTCCTGGTCGCCCTTGGTTACCCTGCACTCCGTAGCGCGGAGCCGGCTGAGCGGGAGATGTGTTGGGTGCGGGGCCTGGGCCGCCGCTCTTGTTCCTCCCGCCACCGCCTCAGGGAAGCCCCTTTGTAAAGGTCAGTGATTGTGCCTTGAGTAGGCCAAGCCGGCTTTGCATATCATCGGAGAATCCACTGGGGTCACCCTCCTTCCCAGATCTCCCCAGGCGCCTCCTGGTTTTCAAGGTTTTTCTGAACCGAGGGGTCTCCCGAGAGGACTTTTCTTTTGCCCTTTCATACACCGCCCCCGTACTCGTCCTTAAAGAAGCTCCGAGCGATGTGGAAACTGCCTAGTGACTTTCACTTTAAGGGTCAGAGGTCGATCCGTAGTTTGTGCCTTCTAGACTTTGGAAAGCTGAGACCTGAGGAGTCCTGGTGCGGGAGTGCCTGGCTCCGAGGGATTTGAGTGCGGGGTAGGTGTCTGGGGACACCCGGTGCCTTTCTGCACCCCCAGGCAGGTGACTGGGCATAGGATTAGAAGTCGCGCCTCAACCCCAGCAGACCTTGCTGGATTCTGGGAACGCAGGACTAGAAGTTTTCTCAGATTGAGGGGTCCATTCTTGGTGTTTTCAAGCCTCAGTGGAATGGTTTTTTTTTTTTTTTTTTTTTTGTCACCAGACTTTCATCATTCATCATTTATTGTTGTTTATGCACCAGTGAATGAATGTATGTTTTGAGTAACCAAGCTCACAAGAATGCAAATTTTCTTGCCCTGTTCACATATTCTTACTACTACGGAAAGGCAAGGACCTTCGAGTAATTTTTTCCTCAACTGTGATTGGCACCTCATGGGTAGATATGATTATCTAATGAATGGTAAAATTAATGTCTCCCCATCCACATACTTACGTTTTCTCTTTTCTCATCTCCAAGTAGGCCCCTTATATACCTTAATTAATATGCTTTCATCAGTTATATACTTTAAGTACAGTGATGTAGGCCTGTAATCCCAGTGATTTGGGAGACTGAGGCAGGAGAATTGCAAATTTGAGGCGAGACAGGGCAGTTTAGTGAGACTTTCAAAATAAATAAATAATAATAACAGACTGGGGATGTAACTCAGTGGTAGAGCGCCAATGGCTTCTCATTGGTTAAAAATGTAATGATTTTGACCAGTGCAGTCGTAAACTAATACTAAAACTCATTTAGTAAGTCACCTTAGTCTTGTTTTTTTTTTTAATGCAAAGATCAGTTTAATGCACTTAATGTATAATGAAATATTTTGGTAGTATAAATTCTTTTTTTTTTTTTTAAGAAAGAGTGAGAGAGAGTGAGAGAGAATTTTTTAAAAAAATATTTATTTCTTAGTTTTTCGGCGGACACAACATCTTTGTTTGTATGTGGTGCTGAGGATCGAACCCGGGCCGCACACATGCCAGGCGAGCGGGCTACCGCTTGAGCCACATCCCCGGCCCCGGTAGTATAAATTCTGTATCATAAATTTTATTTTTAGGGGGCTGGGGATGTGGCTCAAGCGGTAGCGCGCTCGCCTGGCATGCGTGCGGCCAGGGTTGGATCCTCAGCACCACATACCAACAAAGATGTTGTGTCCGCCGAACACTAAGTAATAAAATGTTAAAAAAAAAAAAAAAAAATTATTTTTAGGATAGTCAATAGGTCTGGGGTATAGCTCAGTGATAGAGTGCATGTGTAACATATAGAGGCCCTGGGTTGGATCCTCAGCACTTGCAAAAATAAAATAATAAACTAAATGGATAAGAATAGTCAATAAAAGCAAATGGTACAAAATTAAAAATTTATAAGGAGAAATATGTTAAAATGTAAGACTGTATCTTAGCAGTTTACTTTTCTTCCTTAGAGGAATCCTCTAAGAACTAGTTTCTTATGTATTCTCCCAGAGGCATTCAATGTAAGTACAAGCATATATGTATATGAATATATATATAAAAACGTTGAAGTAGTAGGGCTGGGAACATAGCTCAGTTGGTAGAGTGCTTGCCTCCCAAGCACAAGGCCCCAGGACCACTACCAAAAAAAAAAAAAAAAAAAAAAAAAGTTGAAGTAGTAACATGACTCATGTTGTGTACAACCAGAGATATGAAAAATTGTGCTATGTATGTGTAATATGAATTGAAATGCATTCTGTTGTCATATATATAACAAATTAGAATAAATTTAAAAAATAAATTTAAAAAAGTTGAAGTAGTAACATACAAAACTGTTCAGTAGATAGCACAGCTAATTTTTAAATTTTATATATCATGGAGATCATTAATATCAATAAGTATAAAACTGCTTCATTTTTCAAATTGTTAAAATCGTATTCTGTGTATGTACCACAATTTTGTGAAAATCGAGATTTAAGGAATATCATTACAACATGTATGATTTGCTGAATGCTTATTCTGTGTCATTCAGTATACTAAGTGCTCTTCATATACATAATCCTCTTTAACACTCATTATCCTCATTTTAGGAATCATGAATCAAAGTTGTGAAAGTTACATGGCCAGTAAGTGGCAGAATTTGTGGGGTTAAAGAAAAGACCATACTTGAATTTACATCTGACCCTTAAGTCCGTGCTTTTAATCTATACTCAATACTGTATACTCAATTCAGCCTGCTTCTGGGTATTGAGATTTGATGAAAATGTAGTTAACATAGACACTGATTTAATTCTAACTAAAAATATTCATTCTTCCTCTTTAAAAGAAAAATTTAAGTTGAAGGAAAAAAAATTTTTTGATACTGGCTATTGAACCCAGTGCTCTTTATCAATTAGCTACATCCCCAAACCTTTTTATTTTGAGACAAGGTCTCACTAAATTGCAGAGGTTGGCAGGAACTTGCAATCTTCCTGCCTCAGCCTCCGGAGTCACTGGGATACAGTCATGTGCCACTGTGACCAGYTTTTTTTTTTTTTTTTTTTTTTTTAAAGAGAGAGTGAGAGAGGGGAGAGAGAGAGAATTTTTTAAATATTTATTTATTTTTTTTTTAGTTCTTGGCGGACACAACATGTTTGTTGGTATGTGGTGCTGAGGATCGAACCCGGGCCGCACGCATGCCAGGCGAGTGCGCTACCGCTTGAGCCACATCCCCAGCCCCTGTGACCAGCTTTAAATTGAAATTTTATCCAGTATTTAGAATCTGACTTACAAATTTGTTTTCTGTTCCTTTTTTGATCCCCCAACCTTTTTTTTTTTTTTTTTAACATTCCTATTTTGTCTCCATTTTTTTCATCTTTTGAAGTGTACTACTTAGTGCAGTGTAATGTGAATGAAGCATTGGTTTAAACAAAAGCAAATAGGTAAAGGAGTAGCTTCACCCGCCCAAAGTATTAGTGGTGAGCCCTCGATGACTTTACCTCTGAGCTACACTCCCAGCCGTTTTTGAGACAGGTTCTCAATAAATTGACTGAGAACTTGTAATCCTGTTGTCTCAGCCTCTGGAGTTGCTGGGATTACAGTGCTCAACCAGAAGGACATATTCTTAACTTTGTTTTTCCTCTCTCATCATCATAAAACCAGCCCTGGTGCTAAGACATTTTGTAAATGGGAGCTATGAAAAGTCTATGGATCTTTTTTTAAAAAATATTTTTTAGTTTTAGGTGGACACAGTATCTTTATTTTGTTTTTATGTGGTGCTGAGAATCGAACCCAGTGCCTCACGCATGCCAGGCGAGCACTCTGCCACTTGAGCCACATCCCTAACCAAGTCTATGGATCTTAAAGTCCAAATCACCTACTTGACCAACATAGCTTTAGGATTCTTAGGAAGTACAACATTATGAATTCCATTTGGGGATATGTATATTTCCATTAGATTATAAAACAATTGAAAGTAATATTTGGTATTTTATATAATTTAAGCATGTATCAAAAGTATGCTCTTTTGATTTCACTATTTTCTTTTAGGTTGAAACGTATTTTTATTTAATGTGACAGTTATTCAACTAACAGATAGTTAAGTAGAGACATTTTATTAGAAACCAGAGTTGCTGGGGCTGGGGTTTTGGCTCAGTGGTGGAACACGTGCCTGGCACATGTGAGGCACTGAGTTTGATCCTCAGCACTACATAAAAATAAATAAATAAAATAAAGGTTTTGGGCTGGGTTTGTGGCTCAGTGGTAGAGCACTTGCCTAATGTGTAAGGTACTGGGTTGATTCTCAGCACCACATATAAATAAATGAATAAAATAAAGGTCCATCAACATCTAAAAATAAATGAATAAATAAAGGTGTTGTGTCAATCTACAACTAAAAAAAGAAAAAAAGAAATCAGAGCTGCCATGGCATGAATGGAAATGACTCAAAAGTTGTTAATTCAGTTGAAGTCTTAGCCAGGGTAGTTTAGGGGAACATAATTTAGGGCCTCAATTAATGCTATGGTGAAAGGCATGACAGGAGTGGGGGAATTGGGGGGCAGATTTAGATAATTTTTGGTAGAATTGACAGTCCTGGAGAAGACAGGGAAAGGAAGGAGTTAATATCAATTTAGATTTCCTAGCTTGGGTCATTAAATCAAGGGAAACCAAACCAAAATAAAAAAGGTAGGGCCAGATAGGCATTTTAGGGAAGATTCAGTTTTGAGCTTGTTAAATTGAAAGTGTTTTTGAACTGGGCACGGTGGCACACGCCTGTAATCCCAGCGGCTGGGAGGCTGAGGCAGGAAGGAGGCTAGAGAGTTCAAAGGCAGTCTCAGCAAAAGTGGGGCACTGAGCAACTGGGTGAGACCCTATTTCTAAATAAAATACAAAATAGGGCTTGGGATATAGCTCAGTTGTCAAAGTAGCAAAAAAAAAAAAAAAAAAAAAAAAGAAAAAGAAAGAAAAGAAGTTGTTTTTCATGGTTCCAGGTAAATGAGTCTAGTTGGTTATAGGACAGGGGGAAAATTTCGAAAGGCAATGGGAGGCAGGCTGCATGGAGGGCCATGAGAATGGAAGAATCAGCCTGGGGAGATTTATAGAGAGAAAAGGAGAAAAAGCTGAGGGTGACTCCTTGGGGAAAATCGATGTTTTATGAGACAAAGGAACCTCCTAGAAGAGCAGAAATGATATATGACAACTACCAGAGATACTAGGAGGAGAATGCTTCTAGGTTTTATAAAATGTAAAAAT